CAGTCTCGGACTTAGTGAATGTCTGCACTCCAAAACCGTAATTGGTTGCAAATAAAGACAATCAATAACTTGATCCACTACTTATCGACTGACACGTAAATTACTACATCTGCCAAACTATTTATTACCGATTCACTCTCTGAGGTATCTTGTGTTTTGTGAATGCTATTGGTAATTGACAATATACATAATAATATCCCAATACAACTGGGCTGAGAAGATTTAAACCACGAACAGGGCGGTGAGAAATAAAACTCAAAAATTTGTGATCTTTTTTCATTTTTTTTTCAATGATTTAAAAACTACTCATGTAATTAGTTTGACTTGACTAATTTTACTATGTGGTTACTGTTCGACTAATATCTACAAGTTTTTTTCTGATTACAGTTTGATTTGGTTACGTGTTCCGTAAATAATTGTTAGTATGTACTGGATGGTTGATAGCCTTGGGTCTCAACAGTCACATGTCTTAAAGGAACTACCGCAAAACGACCAAATATTGTTATTCTCAAACTTGACAACGGTTCTGGCGTAGTTGTAATAAACAAATGTAACTATAAAATGAAAGTACTATCCATGTTTACTGATGAAAAGAAGTTTTTGATTAATGTTTCATCAAATAAATGAGGTTAGAAAATTAAAATCAAGAGTTAACTCCAATCAATCTAATGAAGCTAATCAAAATGACTGCGGATCAACAAGGATGAATTCAATGAATTTCGAGGTTTACGGAAGCCTTGGCTATTCGTAAATTTGAACCCCCCCCCCCGACCTTATGTGTACAGAAACTAATTGTTATAACCTTGAATTTACCCTGGTAATATTTAAGTTATTTTATGACCTGGGGTAGGGTGACAATTTTCCTATCCTTTCTAAATATTACGTTAATTTTCTCTCTCCTACATCTACAATTATCACAGTATGTCTATCTGAACTTTTATTTAATTTAATGATATTCATATAAAACACCTGGACAAGAGTAGATGTGTGACCGGATTGTTCGAAAATGTATAAGCGCAAATACATCACAATAGTTTTCAGATCAATTACGTCTTCTCAATGTTCTGTCAAAATTTATAAAACGGACTAATTGTTTCAAATATCTCATTCTTGTTGCATATCAATATATATATATATATATATATATATATATATATATATATATATGACAGCTGAAAATCTACGAATCATTTGTTTTCGGTCTACTGTTAAGAAGAAAACTAATATTCTAGACAGCTGTTCACTACATGATTCGTCTTAGTTTCACTTCCAAGATTAATATGTGTAGCTAAGGTCTTGAAATCACCTGCTAAATAGAGAAAATTTACATTAGACAAACCTAGAAGTTTTAGTCGTTTAAATAAAATGTCGTCGCATATCGAAAACATCTTTGGCCATCAGTTTGTTCACGTATATTTTCATATAAAATCAACGATAACTAAGATGACTGCTCCGAACATTAATAAAGAACGGATTGTAAGTTTTCTGATAGGTCTAAAAGATGAGAGCGAGAATCTTTATTATAAGTGATACGCAACAACTTGTGATTATGACTTACTGACCGTCTAGCTGCTGAATTAAAGCCTTATCTGTCAGATCAATGCAAACGATTCACAACCAGTATCAACAGGCTGTGTAGAAAAATAAATGTCTTTACAGCAATTAGCTTCGTGAAAGCCTATTTAGGTAAGTAAGTAAGTGAGTAGTACATCCTGTTTGTTACATGTAAAATAATATATTCCATAAGTAGTTTGATACATCTACTACCCATTCGGACACTTGATAATTGACTCCATATTTTTTTTAAATCACTTACACTTGAGCCTGGAACTGTAGGAGAAAAGCAATGAAGTAAGAACATACATGCACAGGATTATCGATCATTGTCAAATTAGGCAAATTCGATAACAGAATAGGTAACAAACTATTGAATCAGTGATATATATCTATTAAATATCTTAGAATTTTCTAAAAAACCTGTTATTATATAGTGAATAGAGAACATGTCATGTTTCAGTAATTATTTTTGGTTATCGAAGATTTTAATGAAGAATTCAGTGAAAAAAAATACCAACAAATCTGAGATACAAAAAAAAATTTATAATAATTAATAATTATGTAACTAGAAATATCAATTATTCAAAATAGTTGAACAGACCGGGCGAAAATATATGTTTGTCAAAAATAATAATAGTAATAATAATAATAATAATTATTATTATTATTATTAATAGAGATGATTTGAAGAATGAATATGATAATAAAAATATTGCCAAATACTGGCAACAATGATAATGATGATTTTTGAACTTTGATGAGAAATGAATAAATAATGTTGTTTTATTATTTAAAAAAAAAACAAAAAACTAATCATAACAAGGCGTCATTTTAATTTGATGAACAGTTATGTTAGTAGTAGTAGTAGTAGTGACAGTGTGTACAATTTCATTGCCGGATTTTAATAATCACCTGTAATCGATCCATACGGAGGTGGATAACTGTTCAAATTAACCGAAGACATATTGTTATTTTGTAAATAATCATTTTCATTAATGATAACATTATGATAATTATTATTGATTAACTGGTGATTTGGTTGAGGAGTAATTAATTTTTCATACTGAAATGGTTCAACGATATGATTGTCAATCATTGAAGGTGGCATCAGTGCTGATGTCGCGGCCGCCGCCGACAATAATGATGAATCAGTGTCAACATCTTCATTATTATTATTATTATTATTAACAAATTCCGAGATTCTTTGATAACTTCTACGTTTTAGACGACGTATTGTATGAACACCAATGATCACACTGACCATAATCAATATGCCACAAACTGTCGCTGAAATGACCGACTTTTCGTTGTTACCGTTGTTCGTATCATCATCATCATCTGATGGTATAATATCAGGATCGCCTAGGCCAAAAATCATTGTCCTTTAATACAATCGCACGTTAACAGACACGTTCATAAACAAAATGAGAAACATACAAGAACAAACTTAAAATTAAAGAGAATAACACAAGGCAAAAAAAAGCCGTTTTAATTTTTACAAAGAAAAAAAAATTTTTTTTCAACCTTTCTCTATTTTGTTCAAAGGTAGAAAGATTAAATTTTTCTTCATGAAACCTTATGTAGAGAAGATTAAAATTACTAACCAAAAAACTTTGATAACTCTTGGTTATGAAACTATGCTCTATGAAAGTGAACGTTAGACGTAGATTGAATGTGTTTAATCACAAGTGATTGCGATTGGATTGTGGTGTGAGCTACTTATAAGTAGTATATGACGTGAGTGTCAACGTAATGTCTGGCAGCAGCAGAAGATTGGGGAGAGATCAAGAAAGGAAGAGTTAGAAGAACACAATGGAATTTGTATGAAACGCATGAATAGTGACAATGGATTGATGTTTTGCAACAGGAACAGTCAGTCCAGTTCGATAGGATGAACTGATCTTTTGCAAATGAACGATTTACGATATGGTTTTCCGATTTTACACTGAGTAACTCTGTAATTTTCGTTAAATACAATTCGGTTGCCCTCACCTGTGTTCTCGTTTATTTACAGGATGAGCTCGGCAGAAATAGCCAATTGGCTGCTGATGGGATAGTATGATATTTTCATTGGAACTTGTAATTATGTAATGAACACAACTACTTTCTACACTGGTACATGATGTTTGTTTGGTTTAAGAGTAATTTGAAAGAAAACTCTAGAATGACAAAAAAAAATAAGACAACTAAAAATGCAACACACCATACCCCATGAAGTGATTGGAACTGTGTTGAACTGAGAGCAACGTTAGTGAGTGAAAAATAGTTGGTTGGTTGCGTTCTAGCCGATTGATCATGATTATTGATTGAAGATATTCAATGATATGGTATATAGAATTGGTTAAAATGATACAGAAGTGTGGTGTATTATACATACATACACACACACACTATTTATCTTATATTATTAGATCATGAGTTTCAGTATTCAATTCTGGCCATATTATTATGCTTGACATTTAGTCATTCAAATTATCATATCTGTTAGATTATTTCAATTCATCATCATCTTATTACATTCATCTAGTCGCGTTGATTAATGTAAATGAAAACTTCGTTATTTTATGAGTAATTAATAATTATCTGAAATTGGGACTGAAACATTTCTAGATACGTCAAACAGCCCTTTTTTTCACAGCACAATTCAATAAACAACAATGAAGTTGTATTATATATACTACGGTCATTGGAAATCAGTTCTCAAATAAATAATTGTACATGAATTGGATATTTTAAGTGTATCAGTAAGTCAGTTACAATGTAGAACTTCGTACGTACGTTCATCAATTAAAGTTGTCCTACTACATTAGCGCAGAGAGATTGAATTGTTAATGAGAATCCCATAGTAGTAGAGGGAGTAAAAGTATTAGCGCTAATTGAAAAGATTAAGTATCCAAGATAGGATTAGGGAAGTGTATCCCAGTCAAATTAATTGGAAAGTCAGTCAGTCAATCAGTTGCAACGTAGAAATTCGTACATATGTACATAAGTTCATGTTACCATACCACATTAGCACAAAGACGCAGATGTCAAATCAAATCCCATAGTGATAAAGATAATAGAGGTATTAATGGTAATGAAGAAGGCTAGGGTTTGAAGATATTATTCAAGAAGCATAATTCAGTGAGATAAGGTTAGAAAGGCTAAGGTAGAGGTGCTGACGATTCCAGAAGATTAGGATTTGAGAGAGCTCAAAGAGTGGATGCACCTGCGCCATTGCAAACGATTTTGAGCCATGTCGTTCAACGTCTCTAACCATTGGTGACTTTCGTCTCGCGGACCCCAACCAGGTAGTCGACAACTACCAACACGACTCAGCCCACTACTCAGTGAAGTCGTGGATTTCTGCCATGTTTTGGTCTGGCCGCCCCTAACTTTCTTCCAACCTATTCCTACACTACAAAACAAAGCTCTTCGAGGAAGTCGGTGGTTAGGCATACGCAACACATGTCCCAACCACCTCAACTGATGAAGTTTCAGCATTTCATCTATTGATCTGCCATCCTTACCCACTACTCGTTTCCTAACGACAGCATCGCATACTCGGTTGTCCCACCGTATACGAGCAATGCTTCGTAAAATCTATGATCGAAAACCAGTAACCTACGAATATCTTCTACTCTCACTGGCCATGTTTCACAGCCATAAAGTAAGACGGAGCGAACCACTGCGCAGTACACCCGTCCTTTAGTCAGCGAACGGATATCTCGCCTACGCCATAAGTGACGCAGGTTGGCAAAAGCCAATCGAGCCTTCTGTATCCGTGCCAAGATTTCGTCAGTCACCAGGCCATCAGCACTGATGAGACTCCCGAGATAAGTGAAGCGGTCTACACGTTCGACTACTTCACTCCCTATCACTAGTTTAGGTGCCGATGCAACCCAATCTTGAAGCAACATTTTGCATTTCGAGGGGGAAAACCGCATCCCGAACATGCTCGCAATGTTGCTTAGGGTAGTCAGAAGACTCTGCATTTTGTCAGCGTCTTCACCGGATAGAACTATGTCATCGGCATATTCTAGATCAGTAAGCGATTTTCATGGTAGAAGGTCTACTACTGCAAAATCTGACGAGCTTAATGTTAACTAAAAGAGGATGTCTACGACGAAGTTAAACGAGAATGGAGAGAGTGGACAGCCATGACGGAAACCACTTGATGTAGAGAATTCCGGTGACAGTTCGCCATAAGCTCTAACTCGACCAGTAGTGTTCGAGTAGAGAGCTTGTATGAGGTTAATGTACTTCATTGGTACACCTTTCAATGACAGACACTGACACAGAACATCACGATCCACTGAGTCTAATGCCGCCCTAAGTTCCAGGAAGACACCTATTGTGGGACGTCTAAATGTGTGTCTGTGTTCCAGGACCTGTCGTAGTGTGAAGACGTGGTCTATACAGTCATGTCCAGGTCGAAAACCAGCCTGTTTTCTCCAGTCTGCTCTTCAAGAGCCTTCGTTAGGCGTCGAAGTATTATTGAGGTCAATATTTTAGATAGTACATTGGTTAGACTTATTTCCCCATGATTGTCACAAGAAGACTTGTGTTCTTTCTTATAGATTGGGACAATCAGTGATTGAGACCACTCGGACGGGATTACGTCTAGTCCCCAAATTATACCTAAGATCTCAGTCAATCTGACTTTTAAAACTGGACCACAAGCCTGAAAAATCTCAGGGGTAAATCCATCAGGACCCACTGCTCTTCTCTTCAGATTTCCTATAGCTTTTTAACTTCATAAAGACTAGGGGGACTCTCATCGATTTGCCATTCAGGATGACTGGAGATCGTGGGTAACCGAAGGGTGGCTCGAGGCCAGTTGAACTGATCCCAGAAGTGTTCTGCCCATCGGTCCAGTCCCTTGGAATGAGAATGGATAATAAGACCTTACTAGCATGTATCACTGCTGTTTCCACAGCCTTTTTGATATCATTCCAAGCTGCATCCGGATGGGAATCGCCTACATGGTTGCTTAACTCTGTTTCTGGTTGTTCCTGAAATATAGTCTTAGCTTCATTATCATTAAGTAAAACTCTAAGAGGCTTCCTTATGGTGTCTTTCCTACGTCCAGTAAGCCTCGAACAAATACGCGCTCGCACTAGGGCATGATCTGAATCCAAACATGTGCCCCAGAACGAGCGACAGTCTTCTATCGAACCCCTCCATCGGTGGCTGATGGCGATGTGATCTAGTTGCGTCCAACGTTGAGACGACTTTGGAGGTCGCCAGGTCAACAGATGTTTTTCCTTATGCCTAAAGTTAGTGTTTGCTAAGAATAGGCGGTTGTCTGAGCATACTTGCAACAGACGGTCGCCATTGTATCTTCTCTGAGCCGCGACAACATAACATCCACCTAGATTTCTTTCCTTCTCACTTAGTCCACCTACTTGAACATTGACGCCATCAGCCATTACTACTACAATACAGCGCCTAGCTTTTTGGAGGATGTCCGAAATCTTTCTGTAATTCTCATCTTTCACCTCGTCTGAACTGCAGTCAGTGGGAGCGAAGGCAGATACGACGAAGAGGCAACGGCGAGTGTCCCCATCTTTCCGAATCTTTACTGTCCCATTCAGTCGGACAGCGCAAAAGCGACTGTCTGCTGGGATCCAGTCTAGGAGAGATAGTTCTGCCCTAGGACCCAATGCTATACCTACGCTAGAAAGACCTCCAGGAAGAAACACCGTGGCTTCCAGAAACACGAAGAGTATATCGAGTTGGTTCTTTACTTTGACAGGGTGAGATCAAATTAATGATTTTACGACGATCCTGTATGCGCGTTTCCGAGACACAACAAACATCTATAGCGCGAGATTCTAAAGACCTAGCTGATGAAGCCTGTTGCCGTATTCGGCATAGGGTTAGAACATTAAAAGCTCCAAACTGTAGTCTAGAGCTGGGTTTCAGGAGACCAGGAATGACGTTTCGTGAACTCGCATCATTTGCATTAGCTAGGCAATGTGATAAAGGTATGTGAGAAGAGTTCGTTGTGGAGAGAAGAGAGGTATGTGAGGGTGTAGGAAGGATTTGATTTCGACCAATTCGGTCTCGTGTACTGTTATGGGTATGAGGGCGGTTGTCACTTCCCGGCTGCCCACACCGTGGAAGGTTGTTTCTTTAGGGACCTGAAAAGGAAGATAGATTGGTGTTGGTCTTGGAGACCTGGGAGCGTGACCGAGGAGCCTAATGGACAACTGCTTGAGGCCGGTCACGCACGGCCTTTTTATGGAAGGATTTTTGAGTATTGGCTCCGCTCTTAAAGGGCATTGGAAAGGTAAGAAATGGTTATGAGGAATTCCGAAGATTAGAATTTGAGAGAAGACCAGATATAGGTGTATCTGAGCCATTACGAGTGACTTTCGGTAATGTCCTTCAAAGTCTCTAACAATCGGTTTCTATTGTCTCGCGGACCCCGATCCGTTATCCCACACCTACCGACACGGCTTAGTCCAGTTGTCCATGACCTTATCAATTTGTGCCATGTTTACATTTGACTACCCTTAAATTTGTTCTAGACTTCTCCTACATCACAGAACATTGCTCGGGAAGGCAGTCGGTGGTTAGACATACGAAACACATGTCCCAAACAACTCAACTAATAAAGATTCCCCATTTTATTAATTTATTTGCCATCCTTACCGAGTACGTTTCCTAACATCATAATTGCTTACTCGATGCTCCCAGGATATACGAGCAATGCTTTGGAGACACCTATGATCGAATACCAGTAACCAAAAAATATCTATTCTTAGTGGCTCTGTTTCACATCTGCATAGTAGGACCGAGAAAACTGCTGTGCAGCAGACTCGTTCTTTGGTTAACTAACGGATATCTCATCTACACTATAAGTAATGGAAGTTCGTAAAATCCAGTCGAGCCTTCTGTATCGGTGCCGAGATTTCGTCAGACACCAGGCCATCAAGATTGATGATACTTTAAAGATAAGTGAATCAGTCAACAAGCTCAACTACTTCATTAGTTCACTAGTTCAAGTACTGACTCAAGCTTACCCCGAAGCAACACTTTGCATTGTTGCTTAAGGTGGTTAGAAGACTTGGAATTTAGTCAGTGTCTTCACCGAACAAAATTATGTCATCAGCATATTCTAAGTTAACAAGAGAATCTCCGGATAACAGTTCAACACCTGAAAAGTACGACGATGATTGTCGTCCCTAAAGGCATGTCAGTGACAAAGTTGAGTAGGAATGAAGGAAGTGCAAAGCCCTGACGAACACCAATAGGGGTAATTAATTTAGATGATAGTTCGCCATAAGCTTTGACTTGACCAGTAATGTTAGAGTAGACAGCCTGTACAAGGTTAGCGTACTTCTTTGGTACCCCATTCAATTCACTACGATCAACTGGGTCTATGACGTAATGAAACTTCGAAAACTACTCACATTTCTAAATATGTAACCAACATGTTCATTTATTTAATTTGACTCAGTCATAGACACTCTTACAAATAAAGCTATAATCACTTAGCTTTGCAAGGATTAATATCTTGCGGAAAGATTTAATTTAGAATCTACAGACCATATAATTCTGTTTGACGAATACGCTAACAAAATTTACGTTCTTTTAATCACCTCCACAAACGATAAAGGCACGTTCGGTATGGATTCTCGCACTTTAAATACACAATATTACTTCTTAGCTTGTACACGCCTAGATTAATGGTAGAAAGTACACTAGTTAGAGGCGTTCACCGATCTATTTATCTTAGGAGTTTCATTAGCTAAGCTAAGCTGGTGTCTAATGGAATCTTGGTACAAATCCATAAAGCTCGGTTAGATTTTGCGTATTTGCATCAGCTGTATAATAAATAGTTCAGATATTTTCTAGCCAAAGGATTATTGTGCTTCTTCAGATATTGAATATAACAGCTCTATTTTATTCGAGCCCCCAATAAAACCATACACTAGTTGGTTCTGTCCTGTTTTATTACTAGTATTTAAAAATAGATATCTTCGAATCGCTGATTATTTTAAGCACATATTACTAGATAAGGATGGTCAGTCAGCTGATGAGGTAATGAATTTCCATCGGCTGAAGTAGTTAAGATAAGTGTTATGTATATTCGGCTACCGCTTACCTTAATGAGCGATCATGGGCAGTGTAGTAATATACTGTAAAACAGATAAGGGTGACCAGATTAAAACTAGGTATCAGTTCATGAAATCACAAACTGCCAGATTGAGAAGTTAAGATAGATGAAGGTTATTCGGCTTCAATTTTTATATTCCTTGGGACTAATTAACTGAGTATATATATATATATATATATATATATATATATATATATAGAGAGAGAGAGAGAGAGAGAGAATAATCAAATATCAAATAAACTTACCATGACGAGTAATTTGTACGAGCATAGTAGTATCCCGTATTCGGACTGCCTAAATTAATAACTTGTTCACGTACAGCTACGTGATTTTTGGTAGATTGATCATGAATTTGAGTAAAGTTATCACCGTACACAGCGAAAGGTAAACTAAAATGATATGATTTTGTCTTAATAATTGTATGATCAATTGGACGTGCAATCCCGAAACGGACTAATTGGGCTTGTTGTGTTTGTTGTTGAGGATCAATCCAATAGGCTGCAGGAAATTGTAAATAAGCATTGGGCCATATAGATTGAATTAACTTTTTTTCTTTTGATAATTCCAATCCTAATTGAATAAATGGAGACTGAAATAGTATGGAAGAAAGAGCAATGAACAGAACAATATTATGACAGGATGTGGTATTGGAGAAGTTGAAACATTCAGAACTATTTTTTTGATTATTATCATTATGTATACTTTTTACTGTGTTATAATCAGAGAGTAATTAATTATTGAGAGGAATCAAACAACCTATTGGCTATCTTGGACTCCATAGCCGAGTGGATAACGCAATGGCGCTTGAAGCGAACAGCATTTGGTTCAAGTTTCGAAGTAGGCATTAACTATAGGATGCAGGCCTATTCAGCTGACCTGTCTGTCCCAAATAGGACGAAATTCGCGTCCTACATTTCACTGCTACCCACCATTAATTTCCGTTTTAGATACAACTACACTGTTGTATTGTCATATTCTAATAACATTTCCGGTGGACTTATCGGAGGTGAATTGCACAGATCGGAACTCATAGTTTGTTCAGTTTCAGATCCTAGGGTATAAACGGGATAGAGAGAGTTCTGATTGGTGAGTGCAGCACACGATATCGATTAGTGTATTCGGATATAACAACAGGTAAACAAAAGGTTATTCAGCAAAACAGAATATTCAGAATACTAACCTCCAACGAAATTTTTAATAAGGTTTGAATTGTACATTGAAAGTAAACTGTAAAAGTAATAATGCCTTTAGGTAGTAATTTTGTGATACAGAGCAATACGAAAGTTGTTGTTTTCAACGTAGTAGATTGTCTCAGTGAGATGAATATTAGTGTAGAGGTCAGTAAGACTTAATAAGAGTAGAATAGTTGTTCTGTTTACCGGGTGGTAACTGATAGGATGTTTTAACCATTGAGCAATTTGTCACATTTTATGGGACAATTACTTTTGATTAAGATGATTGGGTCAAGTGATAGACTTATACCACAGTCTAGACCAAGGATTTTAATAAACAGATACATGACAAAGTCACCGATTATTATCACAGCATGAAAACTAGGAAACGGTGTGATGAAATTATTAGTAGGATGGGAGTTGACAAGATGAAGATGTACTATCTTATATTAACTAGTCAATGCTAATTCGAAATATATCAAATATCATCAGTAAGTAAAATCATAAAACTTGACTAATGTCGGTTAATTTTCTTTCCATTCATCAGTTTTAGAACTTGGCTAAGTTTACAACATACACGTTTATTGTCTGGACTTTCTGCATATCCATCCTTTTGTGCGTTTAATTCATTTTAAAACTTACCACAATAGTTCTTTCACTGTTTTGGTGTTTGTTGTGTGTGTGTGTGTGTGCGTTATTAAATTCTTGAATGATTTGTCAAATCTTGTAAATGTATAATTTAGTTAACCGTTGATATTCCAAACTGACACAACTTTGTAGTGTTGTCTAATATATACTATGTTTTATAACATCATTTACTGTGATTATCAGAAAGGTGAAGTTGCTGATTGATTTGGCACACCTTTCCATGGCAAACACTGTCACGGAACCTGACGATCGACAGAGTCAAACACCGCCTTGAGGTGGGACGGGGTATAACTATTGTGAGACGTCTGTTTGAATGTGTGTCTGTGATCTGGGACCTGACGCAGTGTGAATATCTTATCTATACATCCTTGTCCAGGTCTAAAACCAGCTTGGTTTTCTTGAGTCTGCTCTTCACGACCTCTAGTTAAGCGTCGAAGTATTATTGAAGATAATATTTTGGACACTGTATTGGTTAAACAAAGTCCTCTGTGACTGTCACAACATGACTTTCGTCATCTTTTATAGACTGGGAAAATTAGTGATTGAGACCAGTCAATTCGGATTACGTCTAGTTCACAGATTCGAGGTAGGATTTCAGTCAATCTACTTGCTGAAACTGGACCACCATCCTTACAAATCTCAGACATTCATCTATCAGGCTTGCAGCGCTCTCTCGTCTTAGGTTGCCCATAGCCGTTCCAACCTTATTAAGAGTCAGAAAACTTACGTCAATTCGCCATTCAGATTGACAGGAAATGGTAGGCAACCGGAATGTAGATGAAGACCCTAACCACAGACGAATACCTGTTCGTACTAGAGTATGATCTGAATCTAAACATGTGCTCCAGAACGAGTGGTGTTCTTACATTTAGCCTCTCTATCGGTGGATAATAACGGTGTGATCTATTTGGGTCCAGCATCGAGTCGACTTCGAGGGTCGCCACGTCAAAAGATGTTTATTTTACGCTTGAAGTTGGTATTTGCCAGAAATACGTGGTTTTCTGAGCACAGCTGCAGCAGACGGTTGCCGTTATCGATCGATTCAATGAACCGCGACATCTCCCTAGATGTCTTTCCTTGTCACTTTGTCCTCCTAATTGAGCATTAAATTCACCAGCCATTGTCACTGATTCGCAATGCTTAGATTTTTGTAGGAGGTTGGACAGCTGTTTGTAAAACTCACCTTTCACCTGATGTGAACTGAAACCAATAGGAGTTTAGGCAGAAACAACGAAGAGGCAAAGGCCAGTGACCCAATATTTCCGAGTCATTACCGTCCCACTTAGTCGGTCAACACATAAGCGACTGTCTACTGGATGCCAGTCTAAGAGAACTAATTCTACCTTAGAACTCAATGCCATAACCACGCTAGCAACGACACGGGAAGCAGTAGTGGTGCTTACAGATACACGAAGTGAATATCGAGATGGTTCTTCATGTTGACAAGGTGAGGGCAAATGAATACCTATACTCGGATCCTGTATGTGTTTCGTAGATGCAGCACACAATGATAGCATGAGATTCGAGAGTTCTAGCTAACGAAGCCGGCTGTCCTATTTGGCACAAGGTCCGAATATTAAAAGCTCTAACATGTAGTGTAGAGCGAGGTTTCAGGAGACTGAGATCAATGTTTTGTGTACTCAAATAGTTTGCATCAGAAACGCGGTCATAAAGCAAATGAGAGAAGGGTTAGTCGTAGGAATAATGGAGTGATTAAGAGTTTTGGAAACTTTGACTGTGTGTAAGTTGATGTCATGTGCTGTTACGGGTATGAGGGCGAATGTCACTTCCTGAGTACCCACACGGTGGAAAGGTATTTCTCGAAGAACATAAAAAGAAAACTGGATTAGATGTGGGCCTAAAGACTTGGAAGTCTGACCGCAGAGACCATTGGACAACTGCCTGAGTCCGATCACGCATGGTCTTTCCGTGTGAAGCTTTTAGAACGCCAGCTCCGCTCTACAAAAGGTCTTACTACTGGAGACGGAAATCCGTGGTGTAAGGTGAGGTGCGATATTTTTAGGGTTGACTTTTTTGACCCCTTCCTTTCTTTTGAGAAGGCGGCATCGCTGCAGATGCTGGTTGTCCGAGGAAAATACCTTAATGCTGTCACATCCCTCTACAGTCAGCACTCATACGGTGCAGGGCATATGCCAAATTTACAGACACTGATTAGGTACGAGTCGCACCGCTTGGGTATCACTACGCAGTAATACAATATCATTTGCATACTCAGAGTCGAAATTTCTTTTTCAAGTTAAAAGATCCACACTACCATCACTTATACTCATTGGAGGTGTTTACGGAACGTCGACGATGGTAAAAATGAGGGGAAATGTTGAGCATGGGCGATCCTGCCTAACCCAACTGCTTGGAAGAAATAATGGGGTCGGTTGCACGCTCTTATTCTGTCTGAAGTGTTTGTATATGAGGCCTTTAGGATGATAATAAACTTCTCAGGCACACTGTTTTTCAATAAACAGTCCCAGAGAAGTCTGTTCACTGAATAGAAGTTGGCGCTGATGTCTTGAAAAGCAGCAATTGTCGGTGGTGTTGTCCTAGCATTTTGGTGAAAGATGAAGATATGGTCCATATATCTTCATCTTAAACAAAACACCAGCCTGATCTTTGCAAGTTAATCATGCTTGCATTTTGAACAACCTGCGAAATATGATGGAAGTAAATAATTTGGGCGCAATTGGAAGCAGACTTATACCCTGATAGTTGTTGCATAGGCAACATGAACCCTTTTTAGCGATAGGGACAACTATTGGAGAGATATACAAGCACCTATCACCATTACTAATTATTTTATGAAATCAAGTTAATATTTTTAGTTATAACCGGTGCTTTTTTCCTGAAGCATAGAACCTAATCAGAATAAACTGACGACAATCTCACTCAATATAAGGAATTGTCATAACCAAGACGAAACCGAACCCAAAGAATTGAATGATTATTCTACTATAACGTGAATCAACTGAAGCTGGAAATGTATACAACAAGTGGACACCAACTTAATGGTTTTAAATAGGTTTTGTTCTCTAGTGAAGTCATGGGTGTGTGAACATATTTGGGAATCCTATGCTAGGATGAAACAGTTTACCAGTGGTCCTTAGTTTTAAATAATACGCCAAACGAAATTACTCATATATATATAAGGATAATAATCTTCACAAAAACACCTTCATTTAAGAAAAACTAATAATTCAGATGAAAATGTTCAAATAAATACAGAGGATACTTGAATATAAAATACATCTTAATGGTAGTTTAACATACTTTTATTTTTCCAATAGGACCATCTTCAGCATATTTCTGAACAGCTGTTTTATTCCAAAAATATGCATCATCTTCAAGGGAATGATTGGAAAAAATTAATAGAACAGGTGAAAATTTGTTGACTGAATTGATTACTTCCACTTTGTCCAATATCAATTCAACAACAATACTTAAAGCATTTTCAATCGTATAATACAACGGTTGTGATGGTTTCGTCCGATAATCGTATATTGTAAACTGATGATAGGGTGTAAAATAAGGAAATAGAAATGATACGAATAACAAGTACACTTTAAGAGAATTACAGGTTTTTTGATAAAAAACCAATTTTAGTTGAACCAGTTATTTAGTAATAAGCAATGTAGAGCTTGACACATATATACACTAGTCCAAGTTATCACACTATATATCAGTAAAGTGGGATTAAGTCATCAATTAACGTTTCTGAGTAGTAGAAGTAGTAAGAGTATCAGTGGTAGCAAAAACGATTACGCATAGACGACAATTTTGTTCGAGAATGAATTAGTAGAGTGTAAAATAATTTTAGGGAAGACAAAGAATGAATGCACCTAACCCAACGTAACCGGTTTTCAATCACACCACTCGACATTTTCAATCCGTCTTTATGCTCATCGTGAATAACCAAACCTGGAAATCTGCATTTATTTTCACGGCTCAGTACAACAGTTAGTGATTTTGTCGACGGATGTCTCATTCTAGTTCGGTTGGACTTAAATATGTTACAACCCATTGCTATACCAGTAACATTTGCGCATCTAGGTAAGTGGCAAGTGAGTGTGCATTGTACATGCCCCAATCACTCCAGTCAATCCGGAATCACTACCAAATCAATCGACCCACCTAGTTTGCCTAGTATCCTGCATCTAACCTCAAAAATTAGTGTTTAGCGGTCCCAGTATACACCACCAATCTTTGAATATTATCAAATATTATTAATCTCTGTACATCTCAACTATGACACCGCTGACGAAAGTCCGGAAAACAAATCGTGTATCTTTAATCTGTGCCCGATTTCTGTCAGACAAGAACCTATTAATGCTGATAAGATCTGCAACACAAGTGAAGTAGTTAACATCCTGAACTATTTCATTCCCTATAATTAGCAGAATGTCGATTTATAAAAAAGCACGTGGATTAAATACATCTCAGATTATACATGTAACTCGATATGAAAGTAATTATCTGAAATAAGTACATAAAATTCAGTAGCCAAGTCATAGACAGTCAAGTACACTCACGACAAGTAGATTATATAGTCGAATCATTCATACCGATCACCATACTCATACTCATATATCAATATTCACCGCCACTAATTTCCACCCGTCCGTAGCTGCTACCTTGACGTGGTGGTCGGGCTTGCCTATCGTCATGACCCAACCGAGCTATACTGGCTGGAACATGTGTTCCTGCAGGTCCTATTAAGCCAGGCTGCTCGATTGGAGAACGATGAGACTAAAAGCAGCTACCCAAGGTCTGAGGGCGAAGTCGTACTGTTGACTGCAGAGGGGTGTGACAGCAGTAAGGTGTTTCCCTCGGACAACCAGCATCTGCAGCTATGCTGCCTTCTCACAAGGAAGGAAGGGTTAGAAAAGGTCGACCCTAAAATTGTCACACCTCACCCTACCTCACGGATTTCCGTCTCCGGCGGTAAGGGTGCCCACTAAGGGCCTTTAAGAACGGAGCTAATCCTCAAAATACCTTCCATAAAAAGGCCGTGCGTGATCGGCCTCAAGCAGTTGTCCCCCGGACTCTGCGGTCACGCTCCCAGGTCTCCAAGACCAACACTAATCTATCTTCCTTTTCAGGTCCCTCAAGAAACAACCTTCCACGGTGTGGGCAGCCGGGAAGTGACAACCGCCCTCATACCCATAACAGTACACGAGACCAAATTGGTCGAAATCAAATCCTTCCTACACCCACGCATACCTCTCTTCTCTCCACAACTAACTCTACTCACATTCCCCTATCTCACTGCACCGCTAATGCAAACGATGCGAGTTTACGAAACGTCATTCCTGGTCTCTTGAAACCTCGTTCTAGACTACATGTTGGAGCATTTAATGTACGCACATTGTGTCAAATAGGGCAACAGGCATCATTAGCTAGGACTTTAGAATCTCGTGCAGGAAGCCGGATGGAATGATATCAAAAAGGCTGTGGAAACAGTAATTATATCTGCTAGTAAGGTTGACCATAAGGCTAGAATGAAGCCATGGATCTCAGTAGCATCCACCGATCTGATGGATGCTCGAAAACTCATCCCACCTGGCTCTGAACATGATGAAGAGCGTAGTCAGCTTAGGTGCAGACTTATAAAAAGCCTACGTAACGACCGTGAACAGTGGTGGGTGGCGAAAGCAAAAGCGATGGAAAAGGCAGCGGCGATAGGCAACACTAGACAACTTTTCCGCCTTATCAAAGAAACCGGTATTAGGAACCCGAATGTAAGTGAGACTATCTCGGAAAAGGATGGTCTTATTATCCATTCTCAATCTAGGAGGCTGGACCGATGGGCAGAACACTTTAGGGATCAGTTCAACTGGCTTCGAGCCACTCTTCTGTTACCCACGATCTCCAGTCATCCTGAATGGCAAGTCGACGTAAGTCCGCCGGAATTCTTCACTTCAAGTGGTGTCCGTCAGGGATGTCCACTTTCTCCACTCTTGTTCCATTCTGTCATAGACATGCTCCTAGATATAACCTTATCCTCGTCTGAATTTTCAGGAGTAGACCTTTTACCAGGTGGCTCGCTTATTGACTTAGAATATGCTGATGACATTGTCCTACTTGGTGAAGACGCTGACAAAGTTCTTCTGACAACCCTAAGCAACAATGCAAGCATGTTCGGTATGTGGTTTTCCCCCTCGAAATGCAAAATGTTGCTTCAAGATTGGGTTGCATCGGCACCTGAACTGGTGATGAGAGTGAAGTAGTCGAACATTTAGACCGCTTCACTTACCTGGAGAGTCTCATCAGTGCCGATGGCCTGGTGACTGACGAGATCTCAGCTCGGATACAGAAGGCTCGATTGGCTTTTGCCAACTTGCGTCGCTTATGGCGTAGGCGAGATATCCGTTTGCTGACTAATGGACGAGTGTACTGTGCAGCAGTTCGCTCCGTTCTCCTATATGGCTGTGAAACATGGCCAGTGAGAGTAGAAGATATTCGTAGGTTACTAGTATTCGATCATAGATTTTACGAAGCATTGCTCGTATACGGTGGGACAACCGAGTATGCGATGCTGTCGTTAGGAAACGAGTAGTAGGTAAGGGAGGCAGATCAATAGATGAAGTGGTGAAACTTCATCAGTTGAGGTGGTTGGGACATGTGTTGCGTATGCCTAACCACCGACTGCCTCGAAGAGCTTTGTTTTGTAGTGTAGGAATAGGTTGGAAGAAAGTTAGGGGCGGCCAAATCAAAACATGGCAGAAATCCATGAAGTCATTGACGAGTGGACTTAGTCATGTCGGTAGTTGTCAACTACCTGGCTGGCGTCCGCGAGATGATAATAATCGATGGTTAGAGACCTTGAATGATATGGCTCAAAACCGTTTGCAATGGCACTGGTGCATTTATTCTTTGTGTTCTCTCAAATTCTAATCCTCTTGATTCTTCATCGATTTTATCTATTTTTTGGGTTTATTTCAGTTGATTATGCTTCTTGAATAATATCTTCGAACTCTAATCTTCTCCATCACTGCTAATAATTCTACTATCGCTGCCACTATCGGATTTGAACTGACAGTTGCGTCTCTGTGCTAATGCGGTATGGCAACCTAAACTAATGTACGTACGTACGAAGTTCTACGCTGCTATTGATTGATTGATTACATCCGTTCGGGTGATGAACAAAGTTTAGCCAAGACTAGTCTACTGAAGCGCCGAATAATAACAACGAGAAAATATAAACCTTCACAATTCATATATATTGAGTATTTGGATCTTTCCATTGACGTTTAGGACTGTAATCGACTAGTCTCCTTTGGAATATCTGCATCCTATGTGGATCGCCTAGATAGTGCCATTAAGTTGCAAGCATTATAGGCAAAGATGAGTGGTGGCTAGCATTGGAGTTGAGGACGCTTGTTTCGTCTTATTAGGGACATGGAATGAACAAAGTCTGGGATGCAGGTACATCGAGCAGATTAGTCCCAAATGGGAAAAAAATGCGCGTCCTGGAATCCACTATTAGCTACTTTCCACAAAAATTTACAAATATAATTTATACTGGTTGCACAAGCCAGTGACTATACGGAATCAATGGCTCAACAGATGAGGTGTAGGCCGTTTTAATTTAAATGATGTCATTATCAGCACTAGGATGTTGATGAATCACAAACAGGGTGAAACATACGTTACGGATTCTACCGCTAACTAATATTCAACAGGACGTAAATAAATGATCGAAATTGAAATAAAACCTAGGAAATAAATGTTATTTTAACCAAATATCGAATAATTTTAGAGAGAATTTAGAAAAGTCAACATACCTTCAGTTTAATGACACCGTCTATTTTTTCATGAGGATCCAACGATTTTCTAGCTTCGAATTCAATAGTTAATGGAGTAGTGTTTGTATTCTTCGGAGTTGATACAACCGTCCAGTCTAAATTACTTCCTAAAAATGTTTCTGTTGCAAGCCCTTTATCAGGAGCAATCGCTTTGTCGTTTGTATCGTTATAACGAATTATCTAATTTTAAAACGGAACATGGATTTCAAAATTAATCTAACCCTATGTAGAATCCATCCGTAAGACCGAATAATATTGTCAACCGAAACTGACTTTCTATATTCTGATGTGTCGCTACTTTGAAATAATGTGCAATTCACATGGACTTGTGATTCTCCATAAGTATGTATTAATATTAAAGAAGGAGGATGATGAAGGCTTGCAGATATTAAGTACCACAGTGTATGTGTTTGATTTTTTACTGATATTGTGTAAAGAGGCGGTTCATGACAAGTTGCATTTAACTGTACCTGAAATCATTTATGATTTATTAGTACAAATAGTAGTTGTTGTCAAACAAAACTTACTTCAAATGCATTAATGCCTTGAATAATCAAAGTACAATAATACACTATTGTAATCCATGTATCCATTGGATACACCTAGGAAAGAATGAGAGAAAAGAGAGTTTGACTAAAAATAATACAAGAAATATGGTAAAGATCAAGAATATTTATAATATGATATGAAAATGTTGGATTAAAAAACTAATACTTAAATGGCTTAGTAAATATTTTTTTATCCAATCGGTGGCATCGAACGTTAATCCTCGTTGAACCGGTATAGTTTTGAGATACCTTCATTTAGTATGATTTGAACATGGTATACTCAAGTGTGATGAGGAAACTAATGCACCACCTATGGATAGATTTATCTCACAAAGGACTTTAAAATATGAACGAAGCTACTTCCATGGGCATAAATAAATTGATCTCCTTCTTTATTTAGGCTTCATAATTCCTAAAAATCTCTTACTACTATTGTTGTATCTTAATTTTAAGCGGTTAGTATTAGTGATTTATTTACTAGCTCATCCTAGATTGCACAGCTATGCAATAGACTCCATTAGGAACCATCTGATTAATTTTGTCAGAATATGAATGGTGTTACGTACCTGAGTACTTAGTCTATGATACGAATTTGTTGGAGCGCCTTACTGATATTTGTTTACATGAAGCTTTACATACTTCCCCCGTCTCTCCATTGGATTCTTATATGAAGCAGATTAAGAAATTGATGCATAGCGAGTACGCTGTAGCAGCTCAGCCTTATGAGGAAAAGATCTCTGTGATAGGTTATGTGCAAGCATGTCGGAGACCGAATTTGACACACGTCAAGTATGCATTCAAAAACACTAGAATTACTTCATCCTAGCCGCATGAAGTAATTATTGTACACGGGAAAGCTGGGCTAGTCATTGACATAAATGAAAATAGATTACTTAGATTAGGAGCGTTTACTGACCTAATGGATTACTTCACTGAACTATCGCACTCTAGTGACATAGGCATATTAGCACATGTTGGCTTCAATTAAGGATTTATACTGTGTGTATTTCGGTGGATTGTGTTAATTATGTAGTTATAGTTCCGTTGCAACATAGTGAATATATTTTGGTTTTCCATACTGATAGTATCATAACAAACTGATTCTTATTTGTTATTTACAATTTAGCGTAACGACACACTAAGTAAGATTTTTTATTTACAGTTATGAAGATCCTGAAAGTAGCAGGAGTCGGGGATGCGCACTGCTGATGAGTCCTATACCAGGACGAAACGGCCGCTCAGTGCTTCCACGTTTCTAATGGTGGTCTAACAATGATTTGATGCATGAATGCAGCAATAAGGAGATTTTAATTGCGGCAAGCAAGTGGATGGTGAGCAAGGAAGTTTATATCCTACCAAATTCGCCAGTATTCTTGTGGATAACTTTGCTCACCCTGATGTTCGTCAGGGTAGACGTTTTCCACACTGAAAAAAATCGTCGGTATCTTTCAGTAAATCACGAGGAGAATATGTTGCCTGGAATGCATTGATCGGTAGAACAATCTAGAGAACAGTTCAACTGGCGTTCAGCCACATATCAGTTTTACACGATCTCCACTCAACAGAAATGGTAAGTTCATGTGGATCTTCAAATTCTCAGTGAGGTTGGAGAGGCTATAGGCAAGGCGAAGAGAACAGCAGGCTCTGATGGGGTAACTCCTAGAATTTTCAAGGATGGTGGTCCAGTTTTAAAAGGTGGATTAGCTGAGATCTTACCTTACTTCGATACCTAATAGGAGGTGAAGAACAGCAGACTCGAAAAAATAAAGGTGGTTTCGACCTAGACTAAGCTGTACCCACCAGATATTCCTATTATGTCAGGTCAGCTGGTGAAGAGCAGACTAGAGAAAAGCAGGCTGGTTTTTCATCTGTACGAGGATGTATAGACCAAATACTCACACTACATCAGGTCCTAGAACAAAAAGAGCTTATGGCGAACTGTCAACGGAATTCTTCACTTCAAGTGGTGTCCGTCAGGTCAGTCAGTCAGTCAGTTGCAACGTAGAACTTCGTACGTATGTACATAAGTTCATGTTGCCATACCATATTATTAGCACAGAGACGCAAATGTCAAATCAAATCCCATAGTGATAAAGATGGTAGAGGTATTAATGTTATAATAAAGAAGACTAGGTTTTAAGATATTATTCAAAAAATATAATTCAGTGAGATAAGGTTAGAAAGACAAAGGTAGAGGTGCGGGCTAATCCAGAAGATTAGGATTTGAGAGAGCTCAAAGAGTGGATGCACCTGCGCCATTGCAAACGATTTTGAGCCATGTCATTCAAGGTCTCTAACCATTGATGACTTTCGTCTCGCGGACCCCAACCAGGTAGTCTACATCTACCAACATGACTCAGTCCACTTGTCAGTGACTTCATGGATTTCTGCCATGTTTTGGTCTGGCCGCCCCTAGCTTTCCTCCAACCTACTCCTACACCACAAAACAAAGCTCGTCGAGGCAGTCGGTGGTTAGGCATACGCAACACATGTCCCAACCACCTCAACTGATGAAGTTTCATTACTTCATCTATTGATCTGCCATCCTTACCTAGTACTCGTTTCCTAACGACAGCATTGCTTACTCGGTTGTCCCACGATATACGAGCAATGCTTCTTAAACATCTATGATCGAATACTAGTAACCTACGAACATCTTCTACTCTTAACGGCCATGTTTCACAGCCATATAGGAGAACGGAACGAACTGCTGCGCAGTACACCCGCCCTTTGGTTAGCGAACGGATATCACGTCCGTCAGGACTGCCTACTTTCCCCATAGTTGTTTAACTTTTTCGTAGACATGCTTCTGGACATAACATTATCATCGTCTGACTCTTCAGAAGCGAACCACTGACTGTCTCGACGAGCTACGTTGGCAAAAGCCAATCAAGCCTTCTGTATCCGTGATGAGATTACGTCTGTCACCAGGCCATCAGCACTGATGAGACTCCCCAGGTAAGTGAAGCGGTCTACACGTTCGACTACTTCACTCTCTATCACTAGTTCAGGTGCCGATGCAACCCAATCTTGAAGCAACATTTTGAATTTCAAGGGGGGAAACCGCATCCCGAACATGCTTGCATTGTTGCTTAGGGTAGTCAGAAGACTGCATTTTGTCAGTGTCTTCACTAGTAGTACTATGTCATCAGCATGTTCTAAGTCAACAGGCGCGTCTCCTGGTATATCCACTCTTGAAAAGTTAGACGATGATAATGTTAACATTAGAAGCATATCTACGAAAAAGTTAAACAACTATGGGGAAATTGGACATCCCTGACGGACACCACTTGAACTAAAGAAATCCGTTGACAGTTCGCCATAAGCTCTAACTGGACTAGTGGTGTTCGAGTAGAGAGCTTGTATGAGGTTAATGTACTCCTTTGGTACACCTTTCAATGACAGACACTGACACAGAACATCACGATCCACTGAGTCAAATGCCGCCCTAAGTTCCAGGAAGACACCTATTGTGGGACGTCTAAATGTGTGTCTGTGTTCCAGGACCTATCGTAGTGTGAATATGTGGTCTATACAGTCATGTCCAGGTCTGAAACTAGCCTGGTTTTCTCGAGTGTGCTTTTCACGAATACCAGTGAGGCGTTCAAGTATTATCGAGGGTAACACTAGATTAGTTAAACTGATTGCTATGTGGTTATCATAAGAGGATTCTTGCCTCTTCATATAAATTGGGATAATCAGGGATTGAAACCAGTCGGATGGGATTACGTCCAGTTCCCAAATTATACCTAAGATCTCAGTCAATCTAACTGTTAAAACTGGACCACAAGCCTCAAAAATCTCAGGGGTAAATCTATCAGGACTCACTGCTCTTCCTCTCTTCAGACTTCCGATAGCTATCTCAACTTCACAAAGACTCGGAGGACTTACATCGATTTGCCATTCAGGTTGACTGGAGATCGTGGGCAACTGAAGTGTGGCTGAAGGCCAGCTGAACTGATCCCTGGGTTGTTCTGCGCATCGATCCGATCTGCAGGATTGAGAATGAATAATAGTCTCATCGTTTTTCGAGATAGTCGCCAATCGAGCCTTCTGTATCCATGCAGAGATTTCGTCAGCCACCAGGGCATCATCATTGATGAGACTCCCCAGGTAAGTGAAGCGGTCTACACGTTCCAGTACTTCACTCTATCACTACTTCAGGTGCCGATGAAATCCAAACCAGGTCGAAAACTATCATGTTTAGAGCCAGGTGTGATGAGTTTATGAGTTTCTATCAGTTCGGTAGATGCTGCTAAGATCCACGGCTTCTTTCTAGCCTTATGGTTCACCTTACTAGCAGAACCAACTGCTGTTTCCACAGCATTTTTGTTATCATTCCAAGTTGCCTCAGGGGGAGCATAACTTACTACATGGCCGCTTGAATGGTTTTCTACCTTATCCTGAAATATACTGTTAGCGTTTTATCATTAGGTAGAACCCTAACAGGTTTTCTTGCGATGTCTTTCATACGTCCAGTGAAGCTCAAACAAATACGCGCTCGCACAAGAGCATGGTCTGAATCTAAACAAGTGCTCCAGAACAAGTGAGTCATGTATCGAACCCCTCTATCGGTGACTGATGTCGATGTGATCTAGTTGGCTCCAACGCTGAGACTTCAGGGGTCACCTAGTCAAGAGATAAATTTCCTTATGCCTAAAGTTAGTATTTGCTAAAAATATGTGGTCACTCTAGCACAAATGCAGACGACGGTCACCATTATCTGTTCTCGGAGCCACGACAACATAACGT